CTTAGAGAGATCACACAGAGATCCACTGAAAATCCCAGTGAGTTCCTAACCTGCCTCTGAGGCTTTTCATGAATACACACTATAGACCCAAATTCCCCTGCAGGCATGGCCCTCTTACACTCATCTCATTACCCAATCAGCCCCTGATATTCAAAAACTATAAGAGATCAGGCCAAATACCAGCTCCTGGCTAATGCCATCCAAGGCTCACATACTCCAAAGCCGGCTGCCTCAAGGAGCAAGCCACCCGGGAACTGCTTCAAATGTGGTCAGCCGGGCCACTCAGCACGGGCCTGTTGTAACCTGTCCTCACTGCAAATGGCCAGGTCACTGGGGGATTGACTGTGCCACTCACCAGAGAGGGAGTGGCCCCATCCCCAACCTACAGCCTTTGGCTTCACGGCCACCCCTACAGGAGCTTCTCTGCTTTGTCCAGGAGGAGGACTGACGATGCCCAGGGCCTGAGGCCCCCATGGAGATCACCATGCATGAGCCCACGGTAACTCACCTTGTAGCAGGAACATATGCAGGCTTTCAACGACCAAAACGTCACCGAATTGTCCCTGCAAGGAGGCTTTCAGCCCCTCAGAATCAGCAACTCTTCCCCGGAGGAATACAGCCTCCCCACACAAAACCAATACCCCGCCACCTAAATCTTTTATTTTTCCCATATCTTCATCCATTTCCAGCAGGAAATAGCTTCAGAAGAATGAGACCTCCGCCCTTTTCCCCTTTTTCCTATACTTAGAAGGCAGGAATAATAGATCTGCAACATAACCGGCGCCACTTTAGACAAGCCCAAGTACAAAATGTCACCGCCCACCTTCTCCCCTCTCCTCCCCCTTCCCATTATGAGAAGCCTCCAGACTTAAACAGAAACCCCTTTTGCCTCCTGACTTAAACAGAAACCCCTTTTGCTTCCACAAGGACGCAGTTCTCCACCCTGATCCACGTTAGCATAATGACCTTCCTTGACAGTATCACCCAGCTCTTGGTGACGACATACCAATATAAGCTCTACCACCCCCACTCCTGGTGCTGTCCCCTTTCCAGGGCAGCCCCGGGCTGCCTGCTACTTTGAGCACAGCCCAGCAGATCTTCTTCCTTTAATAAAGCTTGAACGGTACCCAGCATCTCGGCTCACTTTTTTTCAATAACCGAAAAGATTTGGTGAGATTGTGGGCAAAAGTGATACATACACACTGCTTCTGGATATTTTAGCCAGGAATTTTTGGTTGCAAGTAACAGAAACCTATTTAAATCGTACACATAATAATTACAAAGTATTATATAATTCTATTTGGGCGGGCAGCTGGCTAGTATTATATAAGTATATAATAACTATGAATTGTTTCACAATACAAAGAGTACAGATAATATCAACTTTAGTTTTTGAACTAAATTAAAATTATATATACTTTTAATTGTTAATTGTCTTTTTTTAAAAAAAGTTTGTGATTTTAATTTAATTTTTTTAGTGGCTGGCCAGTCTGGGGATGTGAGCCCTTGACTTTGGTGTTGTCAGTACCATGCTCTACCAACTGCCAGCTTGTTAATTGTCTTAAAAATGGGAGAAAGAAACAAGAAAATAAAAATTATTACCGATTATTACGTGATTGTTACCAAAAATAATTCTGTTCCAGAGAGGAGGGGGTTAGTGTTGAAAATGCAGCTAAAGCAGTACTTAGAGAGAAATTTATGACTACATAGAAGTTAATTTGAAGAACTCATTAAGGAATGTGGGGCGAGAGATGCTGGGGAGGAAGAATGCTGGAATGAAAGAGACAGGGACATTCCACCTGCTAATGATAACACATACGCTGGGGCCACTTCTCCAAGAGGTCTGGACAGTTGTATTCCCAGCACCTATTACAATGCCTAGCACATAATGGGATCATCAAACATTTGTTAAATACTATAATAAAATGTCCCAAACAATCTAATAGCATAGACTTTAGCCTCAAGGGAAGCTGAATTACAACCTGCTCTTTCCTTCCAGTGAGCTCCTTGGGCAACTTCCTTCCTTGATTTCCTGAACTGAAAAGTGAAGATAAAGTAGTACATTCTTCAAAGGGTGCTGCTGTGACCACTGATGGTACAATCTAGAACATGGCCTACACGTAATAAATGAGTGCTCCATAGGGAGTTGTGGAGTATCCATAAAGCAAATGTATTTCACAGGGCCTGGTTTTCCAAAGCCTTGCAGTTTCAAATATTAACCTTGCAAAGGACAGGAAATTTTCCCCTGGCTATAGTCTCTGTTGTAAGAAAAAGAATTGTAACACAGCAAGGTTGCTGGCTCAAAGAAAGACAGGTTACTGATTGATATTACTGGGAAATTGCTGTAAGAAGAGAATGTTTGCTAAGATCAAGCTTTTGTTGGTGGATCAACTTCTCCAAAATTGCATTATGGAATGTCACCTTGTTTGTTTTACTGAATGTTATCAGCTTCTATTGTTAAAATTGTTAAACTATACTTAGCAAAAACCCCACCTATGTTCTCTTCCTGTAATTTCCTGGTCTGGAGAATTCATGCGGGAAGAGAACCCCAATTCCGGGTTAATTTCCCAAATGGAAGGAATGCCTCTATCTTGAGGGTTCTGGGAGATTAACCCCTTTCCTGGGCTTCTCACTGCTCAGAAGAGATGGGCTTTGAGTAATCTTTGGTGGCTCCCTCACCCAGGGAAAAAGGGGTGACAAATCCGTGAGAGGCAAAGCAACAGGGAATGAAATGAACGGAATTTAACAATCAACTTACGTTTTTTAAGTTTACTGCATGACACTGTAATGATTTCCTGGGTTGATAAGGTGAATTGGGGTGAACGTCAGAAGGACAAAGTCAAAAGCCCGAGGAAGAAACGCTCTTTTCCCCAAGGTCACGCATGCCAGGAGCCTTAGGATGACAGAGATAAAAACCTGAAGAACTACAAGTCACCCGTGGGGTGACTTCCTTGTCGGTGCTTGAAGGATTGCTCAAGGTTTGAACAACACAAAGAAAATAAATTCAGTGGATAAAAGAGCACAAAGTGTATTTCTGATCCTTCTTAGCAGTTTATTAAAAATTAATTTAGACTTCCAAGTCTATTTTCCCCCGTTAATGATCACTTATGGCGCGGGGCCACAGAACCCCGCTTCGCGGCCGTGCGCCTGCACAGGAAAACCGACTTGTTCCAAGTCCCTTCCCCCTTGCAAGCCGTTTTCAGAAGCTGCAGCTCCCCCGACTGCCGAGAGCGCGCGGCACCGCGCCCGGAGACCCACGTCGCCCTGACCGCGGCTCCATCCCAGGCGCAGGAAAGGGGCCCCAACCCTGGTCAGTGCCTCCGGGTTCCAAGCCGCGAGTCCCGAATCCCACGCTAGCAAGTCCCCGCGACACGTTCCCGGCCACGAGCGGCAACCTCCACGTCGAACTTCCCCACGGAAAAACCAGCGTTCCCTGTTCCTGCGGGCGCAGCGTTTGGGACCTAACGGGAGCCTCCCAACAGCGTCTGCACGCTCAGTCCGCTCACCGCTGCCGCCACCTACGCGGGGGACGGGATGAACTTAATTTAGACAGCAACCGCCCGCTCCCTGGGCCCTGGCGTCTGCGGGGACGGCGGACCGGCGCGAGGGCGCGCCCGGCTGGAGAAGTTGGAACCCCTACTTTTCCTCCGCCCCGAGGACACTCACTCACCTGCACGAAGCCATCCCGAATCCCGGCGCCCTCGGGCAGCCCGAGCTCGCTAACCCTGACACCGACCCGACCCGGGCTGATTCTCGGGGAGCAGGGTAAGTGGAGGAAACGGTGAGAGCTTGGGGCGGTCCCTGCCCACGTCACCTACCCCCCGCCCACGTCCTAGGTCCTTCTGCTTGCCAGTTCGGGGTCGGCGCTTCCGAGCACCTTTGTGATTTGGGGGGGCCCCCAGGCATAGCAGCGCACAAACCCGCTACCCACGCCCAGAACTCCAGAAGGTGACAGTAATGACCACCGCCCCTGCTTATGGTACTTATTACGTAAGTAGCAGGCTTGGCGCTAAACGCTTTATGTACGTGTCATTTATTCGTCACAACAGCCTTGCGAAGTGAGTACAGTTATTAGTCCCACTTTTCAGACGAGGAAACTGAGGCAAATGGGGTTAACTAGCTAACAAGTGGAGGAGCTGGGATTCCCGCCGAGTCTGGGTGACCCTGAGGCCCGCGAGTCGAGCATTTTCTGTGTTTGGAGAATACAGGACGCCTCGGCTAGACCCCAGGCCGGCCAGACTCCACCGCGTGGGTGGCCCGAGTAGGTAGTGGGCGGCCTGTTTGGCACCGCGTGCATTCCGCTTTGTTCCCAAACCTCGGGATGGAAAGGGGCTGGACGAGGCTGCGCAGGGAGCATGGTCCCGTCCCCACACCCTCCATCCCCGACCAGGAGCGAGCGGCGCGCCCCGTGCTTCTCTTCGGGCCGCCGGGTCATCCTCTCCGGGCTGCCGGAGCCAAGGCTTGATCCACGCGGTTAACCCGAGCGCACCCTGGCGAGCGCGGGGGTCCGTCTCCCGCGCTTCTCTCCTGACCTCCCGTCTCTGTCTTGGACCTCCTTCTCTTTCTTCTGGGCCAGTAATCGGACTTCTCTCCCCACCTCACAGAGAGACACAATCCTCGCGCCCACCCCTAGTCTCCCTACTGTTACCAGATTCAGATCCAGGCTCTTCGTCTATCCGTGAAAAGATCTTTTCACAGGACCAGCCGAAGGAAAGGAGGAGAGGGACAGAGAAACATAATAGGGCTTTATTACCAAGCAAAGTACACATCAAGGAAGTGCGCGGACATCTCCACCAGAGAGAGACGCACGCGCCCCCGACCCTCTCCTTCCTCTCTGTCCCACGTGGAAACTCCTAATGGCCGGGTCCTCTGCCCCTCCTGTTCCGCCTAGTGCGCTAGCGCTGGCCGATGCCGTCTGAATACTCTGGAGCAGGCTCCCTGGGGCGCGGCCCTCACTACCTCAGCTAAGCTGCGTCCATGCGCCCATCAACCTCACGTCGTCGCTTGCAGCTCACACGGGGGTTCGCCAAATTCAGCCTTTGCCCCGCCTCCACCCCCCGCTTCACCCCACCCCACCCCCCACCGGAACTGCCCTGGCAGAGGACGGCTGGGTGGAGGATGAGGAAGAAAGCTGGAGAGGGGTCGAATCCCAGTAACAGGGACCTGTATGTCCACTTAATGCCTTTGTGCCTGAAAGAATGAGTCGTGAATTTCGGATGCAATTAGCATTTGCATCGCCGTTTTCGTAAGCCAGTCGTGGTGCTCGGCGGCTTCCAACACAATACATCCCAAGTGTGACTGTATTTACCGTAACCCAGCTAAGTCACAAACGTAAGAATTTTCTAAGTAGACACAGCAGAAGCATGCAAAATGCTTGCAAGGGGGCTGTGTTTCTATGTGTGCGCAACATGCACCTAATTGTACCCTGCTGGGTCTCAAAAAAGGATTTAAGATAAGGAGACATAATATACAAGGTAGTGTAACTAAAAGAGAAAAATGACGATCCATAAATTAACCAAGTGAGTTTGGAAAGAGAGTAGAAAGAAATGTCCTAGTGATCTTCACAGCCTTGGTGCAGGTGAGTCAAATTCAGCTCTGAGTTTCTCAGCAGCCAGCAGAAAAAATACCCTGCCAGAAGGGAGTTGTGAAATAGCAATTGCAGATAACTGTTTCCTA